TCGATGAAGCTGAACAGTACATTTTTTTTTCTAGTCAAATTAAATTCATAAGTGAAATTTCTTGTTTTTTTTTCAGATTTTGGATCTTCTCTTTTATAGATATTTTTGGTTTATTCTTAAATAGTATACTATTGATTATTTACCATTTAGTCAATCTATATTTGTTATTTGGTGCTTATTCAATATATATTATATAGTCTTTATTTGATATTTGTACTTATTATTTGGTGCTTATTCAATATATATTATTATATAGTCTTTATTTGATATATGTATTTATTATTTGGTATATATATATTTATTACTTGGTATCTATATTTATTATTTGTTATATAGATTTATTATTTGGTATATAGATTTATTATTTGGTATATATATTTATTATTTGGTGTATAGATTTATTATTTGGTATATATATTTATTATTTGTTATATAGATTTATTATTTGGTATATATATTTATTATTTGTTATATAGATTTATTATTTGGTATATATATTTATTATTTGGTATATATATTTATTATTTGATATATAGATTTATTATTTGGTATCTATTCAATTTATTTTATTGTTTAGTATTTTTTAATCTATATTTATTGTTTAGTACGTATTTCAATCTATATTTATTAAATCAATTGGTTTTATATATTAAAAACGATTATGTAAGTAGCATCGATACATTTTTTTTCTAATTTTGCGTATAGAATCATATTTATGATGAAACAAACAAATTTTGATAAATCATTTTGTATAACACCATTCAAAAACAGTGTAGAAAATTCTCAATATGAAGACAATTTATATGATCAATTTCATTTATTGAATAATAATAATGGTTCATATCAAGAAAAAGTAATAGTCGTAGTTGATTAAATCGAACTAGATATCACATAGGGCCTTCAAAAAGTGATAATAGTGACACTGTAGTTCCTTATAAAGAGCTTTAAGAAACTTTCTCTCAATATTGTCTTCAAGGGGAAAAAATGCTCTATTTTTCTATGCTATTTGATCATACTTCAACTAATATTATAATAATAAATTTCGGAAGATATATTTTTCTACATTGGTTTTTTTTTGTATAGGAACATTCTTTTCATTAAAAGATTGAATGATAATAACTTCGTTTTTGTCTTTCCTAAATTAGTTTATTACTATGGCACCTTGAGGTACTTTGTTTTCAATAACAAAGTACCAACGGATATTTTGCCAACTGAAACGAAGCACCTACATATACTTGGTTTCAGATTTCTATTAAAAACACTAGTCCGTCATACATAGCTTTCACTATTAATTTATATTAAGTGAATAACTGAACTAAAACTTATTTTATATTTAGAATTAATATTTGAATTTTTTGTTGGTCAATTACTATGATCGAATTACATGATTTATCTCCTGATGAATCACTTGATAGTACAGCTTCGTCGAATACTGATCGTTCATCTTCAATCATTTCTTCATCTCTTGGTCAATGCTCATCGACTAATATTAAATATAATCCATCAAATATTAAAATGTTTTTAAAAGAACAACCAGAAAAATACGTGCTTGTCGACAATCACAAAGTGAATTGTTCAAAACCATCTCCCTGTTGGACTCGGTTTGCTCTTCCTGCTGTAAAAGATGGAAATAATCACAATGTTGTTATTAAAAATTTTGCAACATGTCGTTCTTGTTATTCAACTTATGCATTCACATGTGGATCAACAAAATCATTAAATTCTCACAAATGTGCCAAAGAATCATCATCAATATCTACATCACCTAGGTATTTTAATTATCATCTTTTTATGTGATCTATTTTGTCTATATTTTTAGTACTAAATCACCATCTTTGAATTTGAAAATAAATCGATCTTTTTCTGAAAAGAAAAAGACGTTAACACCGTTAATTGCACAATGGGTATCTCAAAGTATGCGTCCTATAAGTATTGTTGAAGATGAAGGTTTGTTAAATATTATCAAACAATGTATTAGCTGGAATGGTGGTGAGACATCTATTAAAATCTTTAATCGCTATTCATTTCTCTATTTTTTTCTATTAGGTCCATTTAATAATATAAATGGTAATGATATATTACCATCAAGACCGACAATCACAAGAGAAATTAATCGACAAGCAAATGATATTCGTGAACGTCTAGGTGTTATATTGAGAAAAGCAGCTAAACAAGAATGTTTAGCTATAAGTCCAGATTTATGGAGTGACAAATTTAAACAAAACAGCTATCTTGGACTAACTGCTCATTTTGTTGATGATCAGCATATTTTACATTCTATTGATCTTTGTTGTGAACCATATAATGAATTAGATAAAACAGCAGGGAACGTATTAAAAGTTTGAAGCAAAATTGAAACTAATATTAAGTTTCTATTTTTTTTCTTTTATTTTTTTACCTCTTTTAATAGTCAATTACAGCTGCTCTTTCTCGTTTTGGACTTGATCAATTAATGAATGAAATAACTTTTGTTTGTGATCGTGGTAGTAATCTATTAAAAGCATTAGAAGATTATCAAGTGGTTCATTGTTTTCCTCATAGAATGAATAATATCTTAAAACGAACATTTTATAGTGCAGGTACTAGAGAAAAAAAACAGAGAAAACAAAAAAAAGAATCATTGAAAAAGAATCGAAATGATGATCAATCCAATTGGAATAATTCAAATAATGATGATGATAATGACTCTCTTATGTATTATGATGATAGAGATTCAAGTGAAAGTGAATCTGATGATGATATTGTTCTTGATGAGAAATTTGTTGAATTAGCTTTGAGAAGTTTATCATCATCACCACCAGAACGTGATCATGTTAATGTATTCGAAAAAAATCTACCACCTTATGCTGCTCAAATACTAGCAACAATAGTTCGTTGTAAACAATTATGTTGTTATGTAAAAAGGGTATTTTCAATTATATTTAATGACAAGTATATTTTTCTTAAGAGCTTTCATCCACATTTCATTTAGGTTAATTGGAATCCTATGCTAGAAGCATTAAAAAAGCCAACGATCAAACAAGAAATAATCGTTCGATGGCTCACTATGTCACAATTGTTCGAAAGTATACTGTCGTCATATTCAGCTTTAACAAGTATTGCAAGTGAGAAGGGTGCCCTTCACACTCTTCCTACAATTGATGTATCAACTGTAGCTACGATTAATGGTTTATTCTTACCATGGAAAGAGGTGATTGAACGTGTACAAGCAACTAATACACCATCTCTCCATATTGTAGTTACATCTTACTGGTATCTTCTCGAAAGTCTCGTGGTGACGAAAGATGAGGCAGCTGATAAAGCAGCCAAAGGTAAATCATTCTTAAAAAAACAAGTCATTAAAGATCTATCTTTTTTACAGGTGTTGTCTTTTTTAAAAGACGTGCACGACAATTATTAAAAGCAATGTTCTCTTTGCACGATCTGCATTGGATCGCTGCAGTACTTAATCCACATACAAGAATGCTCAAACATGCTACTGATGTTGAACGTGCACATGCATATTGTCTAGTGAGAGCTAGAATAGTTAAATTTATGGAAGTAGCACAGATTGATAATAATGAAGAAGTACTATCTTCAACAGCTACTAGTTTAACACCACCACCTCGCAAAAAGTTCAAGACCTACACAACACAATTTCATGATGATACAGGTTTAGGTGAAACAAGTAGTAATATGACAATTGCAAAACGTGCTCGTCGTGAATTGGAAATCTATTTACAACTGAATTTAACTAATTGTAAATATTTAAATGATGATATTGATAATCCACTATTGTTCTGGAAAGAACAAGAACATGTACTACCCAATATGTCAAGATTAGCAAAACAGGTTTTTTCTATCCCGGCATCTTCAGCTGCAGTTGAACGTGCATTCAGTTCAGCTGGTGTTATCATATCACAGAGAAGAACCAATATCAATCCATCTACAGTCAATGATATTATACTTGTTCGATCGGCTGCAGATTATTTGAAGACCCACATATAGACTCTACTTAAGTTTTTTTTTTTTTTGTAAAAATTGATTATTTATAAAATGAATCTATCATTAAAAATAAAGTATTTGGTAAATAAAAAAATTTCTTCGGGTTACACGGGACGGGTCGGGGCCCGTCACAAAAATGGCGGGTCGGGCGGGCGGTCCAAGAAGCTGGATGTGCGGGGTACGGGCGGAGCGGGCATAGATTTGCCGGGGCACGGGCGGAGCGGGGATTCTCATTAAGAAAATCCACGGGGCTCGGGCGGGCCGGGTTTGTGAATCCTACGGAGCGGGCCCCGCGGGGCATGAAAAATCAATGCCCCGCACATCTCTGCTCTGAATGACAGTAAAATAAACACTGATGTCATTAGAATATTTTGGTTGAATGGTTTATCCACATGTCTTCTACTCTTATGTTCTCGCGATCGAATCCATGTCTTGACTTTATTAAAATTCATGTAAATTATAATTCTAATGGCCAGTGAAAAAAAATAAACGAATACATGGATTGTATCTGTAACTCAAGTTTAACGAAGTACTTGACAGTTTCAGTTTTTTTTCGTTCAGAATATAGGACACTAAAGTTTGAGAAACGCTACGAAATGTTTTAGAGAAACGATCGTTCTACAGCGTTTGTCTTAGCAGATGAGAAACGTGTTAAACCGGTCAGCATTAACGCGTTTCGCAACTATGGAAAAACGCGTTTTTTTCGCAGAAATTTACGCCATGGGTACCCCAGGGGTACAGTTGGCAACCCTGACCCACACCCATACCAGCAACCGCCCACATCTATATCTGCACCAACACGCAAAGTGCAAAGAACGCTTGCTACAGTTTCAGACGTGCTAAGTTTATATGGAATTACACGATGGCAATAAATCCTATGTATTTTCCGCTATCGATTAGATCACTGATGAATTCCCTTTCCTCCTTAGTTGCACTTGGATCAAGCTGGCATGGCACCCACTCGAATAATTTAAACCCAGCTTTTTTCAATAAAGTTTCATATGTATCGGCTCTATACCAGTAATCGATTAATGTAAATTCGTTGAGAGTACCGTATTGAAATGTAACATAACATTTGTCTCCATCCACGTCTTGCTTACTCTTATATCTAATGCCATATTTTGCCAATTTATCCACGTTTTTTAGATCGAAAAATGGACTGGGAATTAAGCCAACAAAAGCACCGCTACATGCTTGACGAATACTAACAAATACTTCATACAATTTGTCAACATTCTCAACCTCGCATAACATATAGGTCTGTATGATAAGTGCGAATTGTCCCAAGTCACTTAAATCGGATGCATTTTTGACAATATATTTATAGTGTTGTGTATCATTACCACAGTAATATGTAGCCAATTCAATCATATTGCGTGACTTATCGATTCCAACGACAAATCGAGTAAACTTTCTATCAACTAAAACTCTATCAACAAGTCCATTACCACAACCAATGTCTAAAGTTCGTTCAACTGGTACATCCATAGGTAATGCTATATGGTTGAAGGCACGCCTAATCAGCATGAAAAGGTTATCCACATCCAGGCGTTTTGTACGAATATATTTGAGGTCAGTTTCATCAATAAATTCTCCTCTCATTAAAATAAATTTATTAGCCAATGAGTTCTTGTCATATTCGCTATCATTTGCTTTCTGCGGTATAACATTGTTAGTTAAATTCTCCATTAATTAAGCGTTATAAAGATTAACGACGCGTAATCAAGTTTTTTTCTGAAAGGGAAAGGCTTATATGGTGATCCACCATAATACCAAGTGAAATCATCTACAGATATCCATATCTATCTCTGAAAAGTACTGATATTCCGGCTTAGAAGAGAAAAAAAATAGATTATTTGGACTTTAGAATTTTGAATCAAATTCCGAAGTCTAAAACTCAAGTTCTAGAATACTGAAAACTAATATATNTGCTCTTTCTCGTTTTGGACTTGATCAATTAATGAATGAAATAACTTTTGTTTGTGATCGTGGTAGTAATCTATTAAAAGCATTAGAAGATTATCAAGTGGTTCATTGTTTTCCTCATAGACTGAATAATATCTTAAAACGAACATTTTATAGTGCAGGTACTAAAGAAAAAAAACAGAGAAAACAAAAAAAAGAATCATTGAAAAAGAATCGAAATGATGATCAACCCAATTGGAATAATTCGAATGATGATAATAATGACTCTCTTATGTATTATGATGATAGAGATTCAAGTGAAAGTGAATCTGATGATGATATTGTTCTTGATGAAAAATTTGTTGAATTAGCTTTGAGAAGTTTATCATCATCACCACCAGAACGTGATCATGTTAATGTATTAGAAAAAAATCTACCACCTTATGCTGCTCAAATACTAGCAACAATAGTTCGTTGTAAACAGTTATGTTGTTATGTTAAAAGGGTATTTTCAACTATATCTAATGACAAATATATTTTTCTTAAGAGCTTTCACGCACATTTCATTTAGGTTAATTGGAATCCTATGCTAGAAGCGTTAAAAAGACCAACGATCAAACAAGAAATAATTGTTCGATGGCTCACTATGTCACAATTGCTTGAAAGTATTCTGTCGTCATATTCAGCTTTAACAAGTATTGCAAGTGAGAAGGGTACCCTTCATACTCTTCCTACAATTGATGTATCAACTGTAGTTACTATTAATGGTTTATTCTTACCTTGGAAAGAGGTGATTGAACGTTTACAAGCAACTAATACACCATCTCTCCACCTTGTAGTTACATCGTACTGGTATCTTCTTGAAAGTCTTATAGTGACAAAGGATGAAGCTGCTGATAAATCAGCCAAAGGCAAATCATTCTTAAAAAAAAACAACTCAGAAAAAATCTATCTTTTTTTACAGGTGTTGTCTTTTTTAAAAGACGTGCACGACAATTATTAAAAGCAATGTTCTCCTTGCACGATCTGCATTGGATCGCTGCAGTACTTAATCCACATACAAGAATGCTCAAACATGCTACTGATGTTGAACGTGCACATGCATATTGTCTAGTGAGAGCTAGATTAGTTAAATTTATGGAAGTAGCACAAATTGATAATAATGAAGAAGTACTCTCTTCAACAGCTAATAGTTTAACACCACCACCTCGCAAAAAGTTCAAGTCCTACACAACACAATTTCATGATGATACAGATTTAGGTGAAACAAGTAGTAATATGACAAATGCAAAACGTGCTCGTCATGAATTGGAAATCCATTTACAACTGAATTTAACTAATTGTAAATATTTAAATGATGATATTGATAATCCACTATTGTTCTGGAAAGAACAAGAACATGTACTACCCAATATGTCAAGATTAGCAAAACAGGTTTTTTCTATCCCGGCATCTTCAGCTGCAGTTGAACGAGCATTTAGTTCAGCTGGTGTTATCATATCACAGAGAAGAACCAATATCAATCCATCTACAGTCAATGATATTATACTTGTTCGATCGGCTGCAGATTATTTGAAGACCCACATATAGGCTCTACTTAAGTTTTTTTTTTTGTAAAAAATGATTATTTATAAAATGAATGTATCATTAAAACAAAGTATTTGGTAAATAAAAAATCTTTTCGGGTTACACGGGGGCGGGGCGGGGCCCGTCACTAAATTGGCGGGGCGGGCGGGGCGGTTCAAGAAGCTGCCTGTACGAGGTACGGGCGGAGCGGGTATAGATTTGCCGGGGCACGGGCGGGACGGGGATTCTCATTAAGAATATCTACGGGTTCGGGCGGGACGGGTTTGTGAATTTTACGGGGCGAGCCCCGCGGGGCATGAAAAATCAATGCCCCGTGCATCTCTGGTAAGGAACAGTAGTATGACTGCACTGACAGGACAGAGTCGTTGGATATTTGTTGAGTAAATTTTCGTAAGCTGTTTGGGATGGATATCTAATTGTAATTGATAAGGTTTCATTACCCAAGGAAATGAATACGACAAGAGTAATGAGAGCCAATACGAGAAGAACAAGATAGAAACGAGTGGAAATGATTGCTGTGCGCAAATGAAACGGATCAGAACGTGAAGCTTCGTCATCGAAAACATTCAATTTGGCAATATGTTTCATAGCTCTACGAACTAAAAGAACGATGTTGACCGGCATGTTTATATTTCTTAAATGAGAATCAAGTCAAATTTTACACGTTAGCGAAGTTTTTCAGTGTGTTCATTGCAACGCAATTATCAAAATGTTTATTCAAGAAACAGGAAAAGGCAATTTCATTGCCATTTCATTCTTCATATTAGTAGGAAGTAAGAAAGTAATTCAATTTCCAGTGCAGTGTTATCAATATCAGTAGAACTCATAAGAGTAGTGGAGTATATTTAATTGTTTTTTTGATGAAGCAATTACCAACTCATTCTCAACGTTTTAGAAATTTGTTTAGGAGAGGCTATATCCAAAATTGTCGTTTGGATATTAAGTATTCATGTTGAATTCTTCGACTGAAATAGAAAAGCAAGCAAATTTATTGTTCTATTGGCAATCAAGAACGATTCAGAATCAGCTTCTATTTCATTACTCTTTGTGATGTAGAAAAAAAAGCCGAGTCAATGTCATTTGCATCTCTTCAAGATAAAAAAATAATACAAAAAACACATTATGAAAACGTTGATTTCAAGCAACTTAAAATGTTGACGCAAGAAATAAATATTTGCTTTTCTCACATAGGTAGTGAAAAAAAAATTATGACGTTAATATTTTATTCTATTTTCTTCAAACAATTCTGGAGTATTCTATCAACAAAAACTAATTAACAAATATGTCGCCGTCGATTTCATTTTTGAGCTTGTAGTGAAATACTTTTTTTTTCTGATAATAAAAAAAAACAATCTGCAATTCAATTACAATTTCATCGTAAATGTTGTTAAATTAGACTATTGCAATAATATTCACTTTCGAAGAAAAATAATTGTCAACAAATTGATTTTTCTGTTTCATCAAAGTAAGCTCTACGGCAAAAGACCATGCAAATTTTCAAGGCTAGGAAGACAGGCCTACGATCAATGATCTCCTATATTGTATTTGATGACAACCGAATTGATGC